CCCCAAAACCCCAAAACCCCAAAACCCCATGAAGACTTATTAGTGTTGAATTAGTGAATTATTAATTAGATATATAATGGTAATATTTGATTTGATTAAATCAGAACTTCTATTGATTGAATTTATCTTCAATTTTGTGATATTCTAATCTTTTAGTTACATTCTGATTATATTTGATTGTAAGTCCTTCAGAAATCATCTAATTTGTATAAGTCAGTTTAATGACTAATGGAATCTCTATTAGAATTCTATATAATGAGAACCTTAAGCTCATTGAATTAGCTTTGAATGTCTACTAGCTGTTACTCTGTTAGTGTTTAACCTCGACTTAGTTGACTATTCGAAGGCACATGTTAATCCAAAGATTGAACATTATTTATTAATTCTTTTTCCTTCAGTTCCTTCTTCAGATCAGTTATTATTTACTGCTATTCCTATATTATATCCTCATGTTTAGCAATGTTGTTCTGATTATTGGACACATTCTTCATGAGCTCATCATTATCCTTTAGTAACTTCTAGTTTTACTCTTGCAATATCAGCACTTTAGGGAATGTTAATTGTAAATATCTTACTATTTGAATTCAGAGTATTTAGTATCCTTTAGTTTTACTCATCCTGCTCGATCTATCTTTGAATTATGAAGTTGATTTTTTCTTCTAGAGTAAGACTGTTAACTATTGATGACTTTTGAATGTTTAATTGCTCGTTGCTTTATTCTAACAACCTCAGAGTTTCCTTGTTTAATTTCTGTTGCTTGATTCTTGAATCTGTCAATACAGAGGTTTCATATCCCTTATTGCTAAAATGACCATTTTCGTTACCTCCCTCAACTTAGTATTTAGTAAATAACTCATCTTAGGCAGCTTATTACATAGATAACTCTGATTCCAAATTTCCTAGAGTCTTATTCTTAAAAATTCCCTCTTCATCACTGCTTGAGCCATCTATTACATGAGATTTTATTGAAAGCTAACGTAATTTCTACAGCTCTTCTCCATAATCTAGTGAAACTGTAATTTTGATATTAGCAGTGGAGTTTGGAATTGAACATTTGAGTATGTCGAAACTTTTATCTTCCCTTATCATGCCCACATAATCAGATAATTCAAACTTTATCACCCCAATGACTTTCTCTTTAAAGCCGGAACTTGCAGTGAATCCCTTCAACTTAAGAGAACAATCTTTTTTCTCGTGCTTATTAGTCTTTTGATGAAGATAGAACATAGAAACCTTAGAGAAAATTTCATTAATCTCCACTTTTTACCGCTCAGGTGAAATTTGGAAATAATTTTTGGTTTCGAATTTCTTTTTACCCCGTCTCCATTCCAGAGTCATACGCTAGATCATTTCATCAGCAGGTATCTCAATGGATACAATCTACATACTGATCAGATATTTCTGTTTCTTTGTACCCAGTCTCTTTAAAAATTTCGTCATGTTTATAAATTATTATGATCTTTGAATAAGTTAATCTATAATTAAGTTGAGCAATCACATGTTATCTATTCAATTTATTACTTAATTGACTGAAAAGTTTAGCATTTCTATTCACGGGGTTTTGGGGTTTTGGGGTTTTGGGGTTTTGGGG